TACCAGGGAAGCCCAGATTACCCAAAGTAAGAGATAAAAGTGAAGGTGTCACAATTTGAATCCCATCTCACTCAGGAGCTGACACTCTGAATACATTTGATTTCTATCCTGGATCAGAACTCGCTTTGGGATTCATGCTGGGCCAATTCACAAAGCAGAGAATCCCCTCAATGAGGAAGGACCAGTAAATACTCAGCGGTGGAGGAAGACCGTAGGGAGGGTTTGGCGGAGCTGCTAGCAGGAGGAGCATCTGCCAGAGGCTTTAAATGGGCTTGGCCGGCTCGAGCAGCCAGCCCAGCCCCACCCTGGCACGTGGAGGGCATTGTCATGTGGGTGACGGTCTGGAGGGACTGGCTGCAGCGCTGGATGCTGCACTGCTGTCACCTTCAGTCGTCTCATTCACACATGCCCAGCTTGTTGGAGTGGGACTGCTAAGAAGTATAAATTGTGCTTTTTATAGCTGCTCTACCTACGAGAAGTAATTATGCATTCTCTTCTTCAATGAAACAAAGACTTTGGTTTTAGAATGACTTTAATTAATGCAATTTTAACAAGACTGTTCAAGAGCTGACATCGAAGGTAAGAATCTTGCTTTGATGCACATGCCTCATGCCTTTTAAAACCTCATCCGTCCCACCACAGTGCTGTTTTTTTAAAGGGAAGTTAGCACCATCCGTGGATTTTATTTTATTTTATTTTTTTCCATCTGTGGATTTTAGACGCTCCTTCTTTCCTTGCTGAGTCCAGAAAGGAACATATCCAAACAGCAAAACACTCCCTGGAGGCAAAACCAAGCTGGTCAGAGCCACATGGTCACTCAAGGTGGTGAGATTGAGGCTGTTAGAACCAGTATTCCAGGCCAGTGGAGGGAAGCTCAGGCTGTTACACAGGGTGGCAGGGATGGGGGTGGGAGGGGGGCAGTGGCGGCTGGAGGGGAGAGAGGAGAATGGGCAGGTGCTCAGACAAGCAGGCTGTGCCCTAACTTAAGGGGTGTGGAGTGGGTGCTGGTGACGCACCTGTGTGAACATGGTGGGGAACACAGTGGGGCCACAGCAAGGTCTTCACCAGGAAGCATGCCCTGCCATCTCCAACTCTCCACGTCAGTCCATGGATTGAGAGAAAGAAAGTCCTGGAAGAGCAGCCCGAGGGATGTGTGGCCCACCGGCTCCCACACCTCTGCTTCCTAATCTGGGCTCAGAGTCCTGGGAAGACCGGGGGCCACCCGCCTCGACGGCACAGTCCAGGGTGCCAGGGGCCCCCGTGATGTAAAGTGGCAGCAGTGCCACCAGAAGGTGAGTCTCAAGGACCTGAGTTCGCACCTTCTCCACGAGGCAGCTTTAATGTCTCTTTTGAAATACTATACATTACCTGCCGCCTTGACCAGACACTCTGCACACCTCCTGGGTGACCCCACTGCCCGTCACTTTCAGGAACAGTCTCCTGCACTCCTGCCCTGTCTCCCTAGCCAACGTCAGGCTTGTTGGTACAGCCCGGTTCCCAGCGGGGCCTGGCTCGACACATTTTGCTGGTGAGCAGCCAGGTGCCCCTCTGTCCTTTGACCAGTAGGCTCTGGATGTTCCCCCGGAGGTGAGGGTCCCAGGCAGAGGCTGGCACACGGAGCATATGATGGAGGAGGAGGACAGGGAGGCTTCTCCCTTCTCTCACGGGGTGGAGATGCTGGCGGCTCCCGCACTGCAGCTGTCCACTCAGTGAGCCTCCTCCACAAAGGCTGTGAGGAGGGCGCACCCCGACCTTGTCAGCCGTGACGGGTCTGTCTCCTCACAAGGGCTCAACCCAACCCCCAAGGGGCGGCTCTCTTGATCCTTACAGCACAGAGCACCAGGGCCCAGGGGTCTCAGGGCAGGCTGGGCAGGGGAGTGGGCACCAGGGGCTCTGCTGCCTGACCTCATTTGGCAGCCCACGCTCCAACCTCAGAGGGTGACGCCTAGTGCTGCATTCAGGGAAGCTGCAGGGCTAGGTGACAATCGCAATGAACAGCCCGATAGAAGGGAAGTGGAGAGAGTTAAACGTGAATGAAAAGAGATAATTCACCTTCGGGCTGAACAATGGAATGGCCTGCACAGAACAGGCCAATTTTGCTCAAAATGGAGCATGGGGTACTCACATCCCTGCACAGCGCTCAGCACCAGAGCTGAGCTCGGCTCTGAGCAGAGGAGAGGCTCACAGTGAGCTGGGACCTAGCTCTGTGTTTACAACTGTGCGTGGGGAGAGACTGGAGGAGGAAACACAGGACAGCACACGGGAGAGGGGGAGGACTGTGCAGCCTCTTAGAGCTGTGGCTTTGCTAGACACCCGCTGACCGGAAACCCCCTCCACAGGTGAAACCTGTCCACTCTGGCCGGGCATGGTAGTAACCACTTGCGTTAGTTATCTTACAATAGGTGATACCAACAGGGAGCTTGGAACCAAGAAGTTACCACCAGCTGGAAGAATTTGGGAGGAGATGCCAGCCCCTAATAAGCTCTGCCAACCTCCCAGGAACCCTGGTGCTGGAATCCATCTTGGCTGAGAGAGGCACACGCCACCAGCAAGGACCCTGAGTCAGACCAAACACAGGCCAAGCAAGGTGACTGGCCAGAAACAAGCCGGTAACTAACCCCATTACCGTAAAACCAGGGGCTGCGAGCCACGTGGAGAGTGGCTCCCCTGGGGTCCTGTTGCTCTCTGCCTGGGTGCCCTTCCCAGTTAAGTCTTGTGCTTTTTCAGCACATGTATCACCTCGGACAATTCATTTCTGAGCATTAGACAAGAGCCCACTCTCAGGCCCTGGAAGAGGCCTCCGTCCTGCAATAGCTTCCACATCAGGAAGACAGGTTTCTGGGGACCCTGGCAGGCAGTTGTGAAGATCAACAATGAATCGATGATGTTTCTGAGGTCCAGGTGCTGTGGCCCTCCCAGCCCTGGACTGGGAAGAAGTGAAGCAGCCAGAAAGTGGGGACGTTCACAAGCCCTGACTCTGCAGCCTCTGCGCATTGACACTGCACCCCAAAGGCTGGGAGGCTGGAAGCCAGGCCCCTCCCTGTCTCCCTCAGTTCCCAGGACAGTTCAGTTCAGTTCAGTTGCTCAGTCATGTCCGACTCGTTGCGACCCCATGGACTGCAGCACGCCAGCCTTCCTTGTCCATCACTAACTCCCAAAGCTTGCTCAAACTCATGTCCACTGAGTCAGTGATGCCATCCAACCATCTCATCCTCTGTTGTCCCCTTCTCCTCCTGCCTTCAATCTTTCCCAGCATTAGGGTCTTTTCTAATGAGTCAGTTCTTCCCATAAAGTGGCCAAAGTACTGGAGTTTCAGCTTCAACATCAGTCCTTCCAATGAATATTCAGGACTGATTTCCTTTAGGATGGACTGGTTGGATCTCCTTGCAATCCAAGGGACTCTCAAGAGTCTTTTCCAACACCACAGTTCAAAAGCATCAATTCTTAGGTGCTCAGCTTTCTTTATAAGCTCTCACATCCACACATGACTACTGGAAACACCATAGCCTTGACTAGATGGACCTTTGTTGGCAAAGTAATATCTCTGCTTTTTAACATGCTGTCTAGGTTGGTCATAGCTTTTCTTGCAAGGAGCGTCTTTTAATATCATGGCTGCAGTCACCATGTGCAGTGACTTTGGAGCCCCCCAAAATAAAGTCTCTCACTGTTTCCATTGTTTATGCATCTATTTGCTATGAAGTGATGGGACCAGATGCCATGATCTTAGATTTCTGAGTGTTGAGTTTTAAGCCAACCTTTTCACTCTCCTCTTTCACTTTTATCAGGAGGCTCTTCAGTTCCTCTTCACTTTCTGCCATAATGGTGGTGTCATCCACATCTGAGGTTATTGATATTTCTCCTGGCAATCTTGATTCCAGCTTGTGCTTCATCCAGCCCAGCATTTCAAATACATGACGTACTCTGCATAGAAGTTAAATAAGCAGGGTGACAATACACAGTCTTGACGTACTCCTTTCCCAATTTGTAATTAGTCTGTTGTTTGTCAAGTTCTAACTGTTGCTTCTTGACCTGCATACAGATTTCTCAGGAGGCAGGTCAGGTGGTCTGATATTCCCATCTCTTGAAGAATTTTCCACAGTTTGTGGTAGAAGAAGTTTCCACAGTCAAAGGCTTTGGCATAGTCAATAAAGCATAAATAAATGTTTTTCTGGAACTCTTTTTGATGATCCCACAGATGTTGGCAATTTGATCTCTGGTTCCTCTGCCTTTTCTAAATCCAGCTTGAACATCTGGAAGTTCATGGTTCATGTACTGTTGAAGCCTGGCTTGGAGAATTTTGAGCATTACTTTGCTAGCATGTGAGATGAGTGCAATTGTGCAGTAGTTTGAACATTCTTTGGCATTGCCTTTCTTTGGGATTGGAAGGAAAACTGACTTTCCAGTCCTATGGCCACTGCTGAGTTTTCCAAATTTGCTGGCATATTGAGTACAGCACTTTAACAGCATTATCTTTTAGGATTTGAAATAGCTCAACTGGAATTCCATCACCTCCACTAGCTTTGTTCATAGTGATGCTTTCTAAGGCCCAATTGACTTCGCATTCCAGGTTGTCCCCAGGACAAGCGCACAGGAATTATGACTGGTTTGCCACTGACTGGGTCCCGAGGTCTCAGTGGAGCCTCATATGGCCCAAACACATGCATCCACCCCCAGATCTTCCAAGAAGGGCCAGGACGGGCTGGTTTCTGGGCCCAGCTCCCACTCCAGGATCTGACAGGGGTCTCTACCATGGTCTCCCCAGCAAGCCCCTCCAAGGGCCCATGAGCCCTGCACACCCATGACTTGGGTAACAAGGGTCCTGCCCCCACTACCAGAGAGCACCTGTCGGTGGGGCTGGGTGCCCCCTCTTCCACCTGGCAGACTCTCAGTAAGGAGAAACCACTCCTGTCTCCATCGGGGCAGGGCCTGGACTCACACGCTCACCCAGGCTCCCGGCTGGGGCTGTGGTCAGGGAACGGCCGCATTCGAACACACCTTACCTTGCTGAAGCTCAGACAGTCTTTGTCCTGGTCTCTGTCCTTCATCTCGAAATCATAGAGTGCTTTGCCCTGGGGCGGAGCTGGGGGCAGCGGCCGCACGCCCTGGACGAAGCCGGCAGGCAGGAGGCCATGGTACCAGAGCTCGTCGCTCCGGCGCTGTAGGACGACAGCTTCCCCGTCGCTGCACCTGAGCTCCCCAGGCTCTGTCCCCTCGAGGTTGAGCAGGGCTTTGCCGGCAGGTGGTGGGGGAGGGCCCTGGAAACAGAACAGGCGTTACTCAGCGGCTGCCTGGCCAGGGTTTGACTTGCAGGGCCCCCAAGTCTCAGAGCCCAGGAAGGGGGATACCTCTGAGGAATACAGGGTACTGACAGCCCACCAGGTATGCACAGCGCTTGGCACAACAGCCTAACTCGACTCGCCCCAGAAACATGGGCCACACCCTGCTGGACAGGGTCTGCAGAGGGTCCCCAGACATGCCCCAGGCCTCCCTGAGGGCTGCCGCATGCTAAGCTGGAAGGATGCTGAGGAGGAGCTGGGAGACCTTCATGCAGACTCTGAGAGGGACAGGGCCCCTACCCGGGCTCTGGCTTCAGACGCTTTGCCCACCACCACATGCTAACTGGTCATCCCCTGGGTGCTATCCCCCCTGCTGCATTCCCAGCTACCACCATCACACAGGACGATGTGTCTGGGGGGTTTCAAGCTGAAAGGACAGACTTGCTGGGCTGTTTCGCACCCTCCCACATCACTGCTGCAGGGCCTGGGGCACAGGCTCCAGGCCCACCAGGGGGAAAGGCACCCCTAGGGCTGAGAGTGTTCATGAGGGGTCCCGGCCGATCCACCACCCCACATCTTGCCCGCCACGGCCCCTGGCTTCCGGAGGTCAGAGAGGTCTCATCCACAAGGGCCTGAGGCAGGTCCTCTTTAGGTCTCAGGACGCCCCCGTCCTCCTGTCAAAGGTCATCCAGCCCACTGCCCTTCTGATCTGTCTGGCCTCGAACCACCCTCGGGCCCCCTGCTCTTGGGTAACACGGGTCCACTGAACCCCACACCTCGCGCCTGGGGCACCTGCCAACTAACCCCTGGTCTGGTTTGTGAAGGCCAGGGCGCCTGAGTTTCTCTCCTTCTTCTCTGCAGTGGCCAGTTTCCATGGGTCCCAGCCTCTGAGCGAGGGAAAGACAGGGGCCAGATGCCTCCAGAGCAGACAGGAGTGGGCCTAGCAGATGGCTCGGGCTCCTGCCACAGCCTCTGGCAGTCACGCCCATCTGGCGGTCGGAGTGCTGGGCGGGGAGCAAGCACACAACCTAACCAGCTCCAGCCACACCTGCTGAGGGGGCCAAGCTGCTGTTTGGTCCCATCAGTGGACCGGGAGGTGGCAAGAGGAGGCAGAGGAGAGGCGCAGGATTGGGAGAGGGGGAGACACCCACCTCATTAATCCCCTCCCGGCCCTCAGACTGTCAAGACCAGCATCTCCTACAGGACCGAGAGGAGGGGCCGCCTTAAGATTCGTGGTGGGGAAGGGAAGGCGCACTCCTGGGGGTGAAGAATAGAAGTCAGATGGTGCTAGGGGGCAGCTGCTGTGTTAACCCAAGCCTCTCCCCCCGGCAATGCTTGGAGCTGGTGGGTTTTGCACCCGCAGCCTCTCACCCTCTCATGCTTGATGAGGTGAACTAAGGAGTCCATGATGAGATCCTGGCAGGTAGACGTGGGGCCAACAAGACTGCAGATGTCCCAGCAGCAACCAGAGGACCCCTGAGACCAGCCCCTGGCCCAACCTCAGGAAGCCTGCGGGGTCTCTGCAGCCCGTCCCTCTAAGTACCCCTACGAGGAACGGCTGAATTGAACACCACTGCCAAGTTCCACTCCACAGGCTCAAGACACCCAGGAAACAAGATGAAAGGGAAGTGAGAGGGACACACAACTGGGATGCCTACAACGATTAGCACAGCCACCCTGCGGGGCATCCGTGATAATGAAGACAGATGACGGGCTCACGGCTCAGGACTCGGACATGTAGGACCTGCGGGATGTCATGCAGGCACGGCAGGCCCCAGGTCTGTTTTCACTGGGATCGACATATGGGTGAGCTTTGCAGATGCACTCTTTGCACTCGGCTGCCCATAAGGCCCCAGAGAGACTGTCCCACAACCAGGTCTCACTGTCTGACCCCCAGAAAGACAGGGTGAAGAGTGTGGACAAAGAACTCATTCAGTCTTCAGACTCCAAGGACTCGCTGGTTCTCCCTCCACACCGCTCCCCATGGGGCACGTGTTACCAGTGTGGGGGCCCCCAGGACAGGCACCATCTGCTTCTACATTCGAGGCTGCATCCCCTACCCTGGCCTGGTTCAGATCACATGCTCGAAACACCTACCAAATGGCTGGCCCTGTGGGCCGCCAAGCCAATCTTAGGACCACAGTTGGCTTAAGTGCCTTGGGCTGGAAGGACTTATCCCAGGATGGGAGGTCGAGAGTCCACATGGCTCTAAACCTTGTTACCACTGGCCGGGCGCAGATGACTGGAAATCCCCGTGGTCACTCAAAGAGGAGCCAGGCCAAGCGAGGGCTAGGAGCTGGAGACACAGGGCCTGCCTCCTGGGGGAGACGCACCCCGGTGAGTTCCCTGGACAGTGGGGGGGGGCCCAGGGGGAGAGCACCCAGCCTCAAACCAGTCAGATGTCTCAGGGTCTCAGAAGGCAGCGGTGACAGCCAATTGTCCCCCAAGTCCACCTGCTCCTCCTGTCAGGGAGAATATTTCAAGTTTCAATTGGCACCAAGCTCACCAGTTAAGAACTTCACCTCCCAGCCCTGCTTGAGGGGAACCCTGGCCACATGCCAAGATTCCAGGCAATGAAGGCAAGTGAGAGGGACTTGAGCCAGTTCTGGGCCGAGCTGTGTTTTGCAATGACATTCAGGAGGAAATTCCACTCCTAGTCTCTTACCTCCCAACACTTAACCAGCACCTCCCTCCCTGGGGGCGGAGGAGGGGATTGCAGCATTTTCCACAAAGATGACACTGCAAGCAAAGGAGGGAAGGAGCAGGTCCTCACATGACGTTGGGGAGCAGAGCCCAGATGTCACGTGAAAAAAAGGAAACTTTATCCTGATTGAGCTGCCGTGTTTTGAGATCTTCTCATCAGCAGGTTAGCCTGTATCTGCCTGGGTCTGAGGTGGGACTTACAATTTCTTTGCTTATATGCAATTTCAAGTCAAAGCACTTAACATCACCATGGAGGTCGTCACACACATACTTTCCTTCTAACATGGACACGCTCAGATTTAGAACTACCTGAAAAGGTACATGTTACTAATGTATTTAACCAGAAAGTCCCTGTCTCCTAGTCCACAAATCTCATCTGTAAGGAAGTTGTCACTATATCACACTCCAGCTGGGAGGTTCCCAGGTTTCACTTTTATTGTAGGTTAAATTTTAAGCTCCTTCTTCTCTTTTTCTTATTAAAAGCTTCCTTTGGATCCTGGCTGTTTCTTTCTCTCTTTTATTTTGATGGTTGTTTATTCTTCATGTTTGGACACTTGTTTCTCCAAGAACTTATGGGATACCACGATACACCAAGTCCTGAAGCAGGCTCTGTGCCTCTGGGGAGTGAAACATCCCTTACCCTGAAGGTCATGGAAGCTTGCAACTAAAGACATGTGTACAACGTGTCCCCAGGCAGGTGGAGTGAGGACAACCCCAGGTTTGCAGCATGAACACTGGGCTCCAGGCCTGGACTTTTCTTCTCCACGTACCTCTGCAGGGGCAGGGGTGCTCTGTAATGTGCAGTTCCCAAGGAAAGCCCAAGCTTTTCTGACGACTATGAAAAGGTGAGGTAGGAGGTCAAGGTGAGTGTGGCCACGGTCAGAGACGAGACTCTGCTCACCCCAGGGGAGCGGGGCACCTGTTACACTGGGGAGCAGCCCCGCCAGGCACGTGGGCAGCAGGCTCTACACTCAGGCCTGGCTCACACGCCAGGTCATCAAATCCACCCTCCCACATTCCCCAGGAGCCTGAAGAGGTGGTACATAAGGAGCTTCTTATCTCTTAATGGAGAACCCACTATGAAAAAGATTCTCACGGACCGCTGGCTGAGGCAAACAAGTGTTTCAGGAGCCCGGATGCGGTCCTAGAAAAGGCAAATGCTTTTAAGCACAGAAAACAGCCAATAAGGAGCCCAGATCTCCAGCAGGAACACAGGTCAGAGGGTACAGTGAGGACACCGGCCGGCCTGGCACCTGCACACAATGGCTTGAAATTGCATCTGACAGAAGTGATACCAGAGAAGTAGAACCCTGTGTGACACCCCCTCTCCCTCCTGAGTCTGTGTGGGCACTGGCTCAGGGCCCCTTTGATTCTAGGGGACACTCTATCGTGACTCACGGTCACTGTCACCCCTTCACAGTGAGGACTGGCTCCTTCCTCCTGAGCACCAGGCTGCACCCCTTTCCACCCACCAGACTCTCACATCAACCCTATGAGGCTGGCCTTATGTCATTGCCACTTTGCAGTCAAGGAGCTAAAGCACAGTGACGTTTAGTAACATGTCCGGGTCCCAGAGGTGGCAGAGTGGTAGACTGTCCTCTGGAGCCCAGCACATACCTGCCACTCATGCTGCTCTTGATAACAACACAAACACTTATCTAGCTGTAGACCCTGAGCCATGCAAGCTAGGCAACTCGATTACTGCTCACAGGAACCGTGAGAAGTAGGAATCAGTCATTACTGCCACTTGACAAGTGAGAAAAACTAGGAGGCAAATCAGCTCCTAGATGTCGTGAGGCTGGTAAGAGGGAGCCAGCCCTCTTCTTTTAACCACCATCCAAACCAGAGAGGTGGGGGGTCCTGACAATTCTCTGTTTAGTGTAGAAGGAAAAGGGAAGGTGGATTGCTGACCATTAGGCTGGGAGGGTCCAGACTTGTGTTGCATTTATCCAGTTTGGAGAAGAATTGTTCATTTTTCCACTCTCGGGGAAGATAAGCAAACAGCAGACTGACTCTGAGAAGCTCCTAATCATATTCGGGACACTGGTTACCAGATGAGCATATGATCAAGTCCCTAGAGGGTCTGTTTGGTGGCATGTGCCCCAGTGCTTCCCTAGAAGATGAGGGGCTAGCTGCCTGCAACTCCCCAACAACCCCCAGTTGGGGGCCTCAATCCAGGGGTGCTCAGCCAGTTATATGTCCCCACATTCCACCTGGGCTCCTGCGGGAAGGTCACTCACCAGAGTCTGCTTTATAGGGAGGGGCTTTGTGCTGTG